GTGGATGTAAACTTCTTGTTTCATTTCTTAACTGCAGTCGTGTTTATTTTATATATAAAATATGATTTCTTCACAACTGGTGAAAAAAGGTTTCACATGAAGGAGAGTAACAACAACATAAAAAGTTCCTTAAACTCTACAAACTAGTGTTTAAATATGAAAAAAATACCATAAAATCCATCATTTAAAGGCTAAATTACAAGATATTAAAGCAAACTAAGACATGGATTATACAGAAATAATCTAAGAGCTACTTAAACATGTCTTTGCATCAGTTTTGCTTGTTTCCACTTTGCTGGCACACCCTGACTTGACCTTGACGGCTGTAACTGTGAAGCAATCGAGATATCAGCATGAAAATCTGGTAAACTTGTCGGTCTTCATACCGACGGTGAAGTCCGAAAGTAAATAAAGCGAGCAGCTGCGCTTCTTCTTCTCCTCCTCCCTCTTCTGCTCCGTGCAGATAAACACAGACGTGAACAAATCCTGATGTGTTCTGGAGGTTCGTTTGGTTTGGAAAATCCCATTTCTGCCAATTTTTTTGTTTCTCGATTTTCTGAAAAACATCATTTGTGTATGTAAATGCACGTTCTTATACAATTTAAAAGATGTTGAGGCTTATTCTCTTTAAATTACAAGAGGTTTTATTCGAAAGCGAACCACGACAGAACAGTAGCACCTAAAATAGCAAACACTTTAGACTTTTATTCAATTCACCAAAAGTGAACATTAGATGCTTCAGAGAGGTAATATTAATTGGATCGTACCACATTTTACAAGTTTACATCTGGATTATTCCATTTCAAATCATCAGAGGCCTTCTGCTTAACCATCTCTGATTTGCTTGAAACTTTTTTTAAAATATAAACTATATTTAAAATGGAATCTGGGACATTTTAGGTTCATATATCGAGCACTTTCTGAGGTAAATCGACCCACTTTTAGTACGTTTTTTCACACATTCAAATTTGAGGCTGTTTAAACAACAACATCTCGGGAATTATTAAAGACAAAAACCTGAACTTTTTACTGTTATTTCTCATCGTGTCATTGATTCAGAATCTGCAATACGGAGTTGCAATATTAAAAAATAATTTTGAAGCTGTTCTGAAATTTCTTTGAGCTCAACTTAACAAAAACCTTGATAATGCAGAAGTCAACTAGGGATATTTTCTGAACCATACGTAGCTTCATCTCACAATAATACAGAACAAAACATGTATAATAAACTTTTCTAAACTAATATTACAGATTCTGAATCAATGGCATGATAAGAAATTACAAAATTTGCCTCTCGACCCATTTTTAGCAACATTTTTTGCATTTTGAAATTTGATCAATCAATTTGACAACATCTGAGGAACTATTAGAGATAAAAGTCAGACATTTTCCCTGTTACTTCTCTGAAATATTGGTTAAAAGTGTTCTATATTTTTTTTTTTTTAAGTTATCGTGGCATGCAACAACATATGGGTCAGAAAATATCACTAGCTGACTTCTGCATTATTAATTTTTTTGTTTACGTGAAATCAAAGATGAGACTCTAATGGCTTAAATTTTTTATGTCAAACTCAACCGTAATCAGAGACCATTTGATCATTTGTTCAATATTACAGATTCTGAATTAAAGGCATGATAAGAAATAACAGTGAGAATTTCAGGCTTTTATGTTGAATATTTCTTGAGATGTTCTTGTTGAAATGTGGCCTGAAATTTAAATATGTGGGAAAAAAATAACTTTACAAATATCCATAGTTTGTGCTGTAAAAATTTCAAGCAAATCAGAGACAGTCGAGCAGAAGTTGTTCCTTAAACTTTGCTGATTTGAGGTGGAATCAGCCAAACACACCGTCCTCCTGTCTGTGAATTATTCATCTCTCAGTAAGAAGTTGACCTCCTGCGTTCCCTCCTTCCTCTCCTCCATCACTTTACTTCTCTGCTGCAGCTCCTGAACAGAAAACCGTCTCACTGCGTACGGTCGGCCTCCGTGAGAAGCAGCCAGTTTGTTGATTCCCGACAGCAGATCCTTCACCTGGGGGAAGCTCAAAGCATTCTGGGACTTTGAGACGTTCAGCTCGTAGTACCGACTGCCGCACTTGCGGATGAGCTCCTGCAGGCTGGAGTGAGCTCCGGACACGTGGTCGTCGATCTTCTCCCGCGTCTTGCTGTCGAAGCGGACGAACAGGACGACGGCGTGCTCTGCAAACTCTCGGCCGAAGATCCTCTGCAGGTGTCCCAGCATGTCGCTCTCGCCCTGGGTGAAGCGTCCCACCTGCAGCACCAGCAGGAAGACGTGGGGTCCGGGCAGGGCCAGGGCCAGGCAGTCCTTCACCAGCTCCACGGCCTCCACGCCGTCCTCGTCCCACAGCTCCGGGGTGTCGACCAGGACCAGGCGCCTCCCGGCCGCAAACGCCTCCTTCTTCTCGCAGGACGAAGTTGTTGAAGCTGATTCATGGCTCAACCCGTTGACCGAGTACTGATTACCTGCTCGCTCTAGAATCAGGTTGAGAGCAGAAGTCTTCCCGCTGCCAGACAGACCCAGCAGGACCACAGACAACTTGTTTGCTTCATCATCTGAAGGCCAAAAAGAAAAGAATTTTGAAGAAGATTAGTGCATGAAGTTGGTTGAAAATAAGAACACATCCTGTCTTTTAGAAACCAGTCTGGCAGCTTTGGGGTCAAAACATGAATGTTTCTGATCATGTTTCCTTTTTGTTCGAGGAGTGAAACTAAACATGAGCCTCTATAGATGATGATAAATGATTGTAAAACTGTGTCACCCTCTAGTGGGAGCATAAGAATATCTGAAAATGCACTTCTTAACTTTTATTTGTCAGAAATGATCAAAAAAGTGGGGTGTTTTTTCTTATTTTATGAGATAAACATTGATCTAGAACTTTGCATTTCCCCACTTTAGTAACTTTTGTGTGTATTTATGCAAATGTTTGGAGTTTAGTAAAGTTACAGGTCTGCATTCTTCCTTCACATGAACAAATTCTGATTTAAAACTCCAGAAGCAGCTGAAAAAATGATGTCTGAAAAGGCACTACAACAAATATAACCTTTTATTTTGTTAAAAACAAATTAAAAGTGAGTTGTTTTGTTTTTACTAAAAAAAAAAAAAAGTGCTCCAAATGAAATAAACATTGATCTATAATATCGCATCGTCCTGTTTGAGTAACTTCTATGTGTATTTATGTAAGTGTTAGTACAAGTACAGTAAAATTACAGGTTGTACTTTTATTTATCTGGACTAATTCTGATTTAAAACTCCAGAAGCGACTGAAAATGTACTTCAGCAGCAAGCAACTTTTATTTTGGTCAAACATTTGTAAAAGTGGGGTTTTCTAATAAATAACAACAATAATAACAGGCGACTTCAAACTCCCTCTTACCATAAGGATGCACTTGTTAGAAACTGTCTGAAATTGGGCGTTTTCTAAAAAATAATGTGTATAAGTTGAATTAGAATATTGCATTTTCCCGTTTTAGTAACTTATGTGTGTCTTTATGCCAACATTTGAGGAACAGGAAGGTTATGGGTCTCTCTTTTTCTTTATCTTGCCAAATTCTGATTTAAAACTCCAGAAGTAACTAAAAGAATCACTCTTAGACATGTGAAATAAACATAAATGCAGAATATCACGTTTTAGTAACTTCTGTGTGTATTTCTGTAAATGTCTGGAGCACATTGAATCAGTCATACCGTCCACTGCGCTCGTCTGCAGCTGCAGCAGGGCTCTGTGGCTGATCAAAGCCTCCTCCAGACCCTCTCTCTTCGTCTCATGGTGTTTCTTCTCAGCTGCCTCCTTCTTCCTCTCCTCAGCGTGCTTCTCCTTCAGCTCCTGCAGCTCTCTGGCTCGTCTCTCCTCCTGCTGCTGGAGCAGCAGTCCGAAGGCCTCCTCCTTCTGCTCGGCCTCCTGCACCTTCTGCTTCAGCATGTTCAGGGCCGAGTCCTCTGTGCTGCGTCTCTTGGCCGCGCTCAGCATCTCTTCGGTGTATCCGCTCACGCCATTCTCGGCCAGCATGTAGTCGACCATCTCGAGCAGCGCCAGCAGGCCTTCGGTCGACGTGAAGCGACAGTACCTGCCGTCGCACACGTTTATCAGGTCCAGGAGGGCGTCGTCCAGAGTGTCCACAACCTTTCCGTCCTCCACGGAGAGAACCACCAGGTGTTTCAAGGCCTCGGCTCCGAAGTGGGCCTGCAGGATCTCCATCATCCTCCTCTCCGTCTTGGTGTAACATCCACCTCGGATCAGCAGCAGAAATGAGCTGATTCCGTCCCTGCAGGAGTTGAAGCAGCCCTCCAGGGCCTGGCTCATGGCCTCCTCGGTCATGTTTGGCTGTAAATCTGTATAATGCAAGCTGATGGAGTGATGCTCCACCGTCATGTCACAGATCTGGTTTGATCCCACAGAGCTGAAGTGACATTCATCCCCTGAGCTGTGCTGCAGCAGAGACTTGAGAGACGACCATTCCTCCACCGTGGATATCACCACCATCATCTGCCTGATGTCACTTACACTGTCTGCACAACAAACACGACCTGTTAGTGACTTCACACCAACTGAGGCTTAATGGTTAACACAATTCTTTACGAATATGGAAAACACTGATTGATCTTCATGTACAGAACAGAAGTACTCACTGTGAGACATGTTTCCTGCAGTCGCTGCTCTGAGATCCTTGTCAGCGACAGAAAACACCTGAAACTGGATTCTCTGGCTCTGAAACACGCTTTATGACAGCAAACAAAGTTGCTTCCTGATTACAACATTTCATGTGGAACCTGCAGCTTTTCTGTCGAGGAAGTGCATTCCACAACACGAGCTGGACAGACCCGAGTGTCTTCCTCATGCTGCACTAGGTGTTTAAAAATGTAATAGAACTGCTTTATTTTCACCTCGTGAGCATCGTTTTATGATGAGCACTACTGATGTGTCTGTGCATACGCTGTCCAACAATGGAGATTTTTTTTTTATAAGGGATTGTGAACGGCTTTTTATCAACTTTCAAATTTAAGATTTAAAGACAAAATTTTGGTCACACATTGTAAAAAAAAACAACATATTTTTATTTGTAAAAATAAAGATTTTTGGATGTTTATGTAAAGATTTGACCTTTTTGATTTTGGGGTTTTTTTGTTGTTATTTGTACAGTCAATGTGTAAATAAATGTTGTTTTTTTTTTCCTGGGATTGTGCTAATGACAAAAATAGAAGTAAAATAACAGTTCAATAAGTTGATGACAGTCATCAATATACAATTTCCTTATATTAAATAATAATAATAATAATAATAATAAGAAGAAGAAGAAGACGAAAAATAACAATAATAATTTTTGTTGATTTAAATTTTAAAAAATGTCTAATTTGGGTCAAATGATGTAAAAGAAATTGAATGAATTACCATTTATATAAATACAGATTTGTAATGTGGACATTATTTACAGTTTCGGCATGTTTTTTTTCCTTACATTTAATATGCAAATTAATCCTTTATTCTGTGATTTTACTTGTCATTGTCTGTAATTTAACAAAACTGAGAAAATATGTAAAATAACTATATGATTAAAACTTACATGTAAAGACTGCTAAAAGTCTGTTTTTGTGTTTTAAAAAATCATTGCTTATGCAAGCAAGACCATGTAAAACAACTGATGAAGTAACATACGATATAAAAAACTTGTGCCATTTGTTCTGAAAACTCCTCAAAGCTGGTTTGTCTGTGCAAGAACTTCATCTAAATCCACAGTGAAACCTAAATAATACTTTAATAAAAACACGTGCAAATGCATTCCTTATTTACATATAAAAACAATTTATACCATGTGTACACTTTCTAGTGACAATAACATGGGATCATTGAATTGCTTCAGAATTTGTGAAAACACTTTCCTGTTGGTCAGAAATACGTGGTTGTGGTTGAACGGTGGGTGGAAGCTTGAATGCTGTTAAATGCATCTGTGTGGTAACAACAGCTGGAGAGAAATGATTCATTTTACCCAGACATGAATCACAATTAATACAGGTCAAGTACAACTATACAAACAAATACAAACAACAGGAACCCTTATAATTTGGCAGTGTGGGCAGTTTCTGTCCAAACAGCATTAGTGCATCTCACCAGTCATGTTGGAGGTCAACATTTAACACTGAACGGTTTATGGGAATTTGCAGCATCAGTTGGTCTGATTCAGTTTCCTTTTCCTACCTTAGTCTGTCTACTAAATGAGCTGCCATCTGCACAGTTAGACAAGTCAGCAAGACATCCTGTGATTGTTTTTTTAGTTTTTGCATTGCTGCTGAATCAGCCACTGTGCAGGAATTCACCCAAGTGTGGGTTAGTGTCAGGACATGCAGGATGAAATGTGGTCTTTGTAAACACTCCTAAAAATGAGTGACATTTTAGCTCCTGAATGTCTTTATTTATACTTTCATCACTGAGGAATAAATACTATAATAGCAGTTTAGAGGTAGGGCTACTCCAGATGCAGGAATCCCCCCTGTGCTGTGATTACTGAGGGATTGCACCATCAGCTGCAGCTGCGCGCTGCTGCCTGCCGCTGTCAAACGGCCCAAAACAAGGCCGTACTACTGGGCAAAATGGGGGAAACGTCTGTTAAATTCAAATATATTTGTCACTTTTGCTGGATTACTTTGTCCGATGCAAAGTGTGATACTACAATAATAATGTCGGTTCTATTTTTGATAACAATAAGTGTTTTTTATAGTCAGGAAGGCCCGAAAATGTTAATAAGTTGTTCCTGATTCCCCTATTTTCTGAATGGTTCGCTCCGTTGCCATGCTATCTTGTGTGGACATTCTCCAGGGTGATGGAGAAGAAAATGTAGTTCCCTCGGTCCGAAAAGGAAAAAAATATTTAAAAGAAAAAACGCAGCGCTTTCCCGTTTTTACGTGAAACGAGACGACCGTTACAATGGCCGCTATGAGGAGAGTGAACGGGAAATTCTCCGGAATAAACCCCGCCGTCAGGTAAATGTTTTTAATCGAGCCGTGTTTACGGAAACCCACCCCCCCTTAACCGGAGCGGTCGAGCTAACGTGGCTAACGTTAGCATCAACCGCTGTCCGTTATTATCGGTGCTAACGGCTGCTGTGAATTAGTGAGCGATGATGCGAGGTGTTTAGCTTAGCCTTACGTTAATGTACTAGCGTTAAATTAACAGATTAGGATAAATAATAATTATTATTTATGACAACATCCATTCCTAGAAAACCCCCACACTCCATTGATCGTTATCGCCCAGACCTACAGGTAACGTCAACGCAGGATTGTATGGCATCAGATTAAATACAGAAATAATATATAATAATACAATCCAATGTAATCAAGCTAGTTCATCCTCAATTACTAAAACAATAGCATAGCAGTAAAAATATATCTATTAATCACGAAAAAAAAGCTCATAAACCATCACATTTATTAAATAAATGCTGGATTTTTGAAACAAACAAGCTTGATTTTAAATAAATTTACTCAGAAACTTACTCACAGACGTTGTGTTGGAGTTTTGTTTATCAAATTGCTGTTTCTAAACTTAATAATTAGTTAAATATGAATTACAACAAAGCCATGATGTCATAGTTAATGTGTATTTATTGTTGTTGTTGTGTTTTTCAGTTGTTGTCGCCTGCGTCAGGTTCAGGCTCTGCTCTTTGAAGGAGGCACCGCCACCCCGGATGGCATCCTGTGCTCTCTGGGTATGTTAACACGCAAACTTAATTCATGTTTAAGCTTTTATTCATTCATGTGGCTCCTAAAGCCACAGAGTGAGCTTCAGATGTGCGTACCACATATAAGGGATGTCTCAATGTACTGACACACATGTAGTTAAACAAGGGCAACAGGTTAAAGGAAGGAAAAATTAGTGTTTAGTTTCTAGGAGCAGCTTTAGAAGAGCATGTTTAATGTGAGCTGAAGCTTCAGTGCAAATTGTGCAAATTCTGATAATAGGAATATGTATGTATGAGGTAAGTGGGTGATAGTTCAACGGAGCAGAGATCAGTGTTGCCTGAAGGATCGTTCCATCTCAAATCATCAAATATTTGCAACGATTTCTGCTTGACCATCTCTGGTTTGCATTGTATTCCTTATAGCAGAAAATATGGATATTTCTAAACATATTTGTGACATTTTTAGCTTGATATATGCAGTATTTTCCAAGATCACATTCAAAATTTGAACATTTGAAAAAAATTGAATGATAATGTTAAAGACAAAAGCCCCAAATTTTATTTGTCATTGTGTCATTGGTTAAGAATCTGTAGTATTGGAGAGGCAGATCAAATAGTCTCTGATTATAGGTGAGTTAAAATATGAAAAAAAAGAAAAAGCTGTCATGACAAGTCACATCTTTAAGCTCACATTAACAAAAAAATAATAATTCCGGGGTCCACAAGTTATATTTTCTGAACCATATGTAGCTGCATGTCAGTAATACGAAACAAAACATACAGAATACTTTATATCAGAATTATAGGTTCTGAAACAATGACATGTTAAAAAAAAATCCAGTGAAAGTTTAAGAGTTTTGTATTTTTTAGCTCCTGAAACGTAGTCTCAAATTTCAACTTGCAAAAAAATGTGCCAAAAGTCAAGCTACAAATTCACAGACACTGTTTTAAATATCCATAATTTGTGATAAATAAAGTTTTAAGCAAATCAGAGATGCTCGAGCAGAAGGCCTCTGACGATCTGAGATGAAAAAACCCTACAATGAAATATGAACAGGTGTGTGTCATACAAAATATACTGTAGTTCAGGGTTTCAAAAAGTGTTGTTTCTGCCATTACAGACTATTTTAATTCTTATTTTTTTAACAGTAAATTAAATTGAACAGTCTCAACGGTCTTAAAGCTAACAAATATTGTATGTTTTTAGGAATTGACAGCAGATATAATGAAGGATGCACTGAGCTGGCCAAATACCTGTTCTATGGACTGTATGGACGAAATCCGTTGAATCTGGATCATGTCGTTGAGGAATTTCCTGAAGAAATGCTGGATGGTGAGTGTTCATGCCTACATTTTAAATCACGTTTGTGCTTGCAGTAGCTTTTATCTGCTCTCACGCATCACTTGTCTTCTTGCCAGATGTGATCCTGCTGGTTAAGGCCGAGTGCGTTCATCTCTACTGCAACCCACTGAACTACAGTTACCTGCTGCCTTATGTGTCTCACTGGAGGAACCTGCATCTCTACTGCATGACAAAGGCAGAGGTGAGAAAAAAAAACCCTTTTCCTCCCCTTCAAGACCTATCATTCCTGTTTCTCGCAGTTCCTGTGCGCTTAAGCTCGACACATGAACCATACCGAGAGTATTTAGGCATGTTGACATATCACCTGGCGGCAGTTTTAACACTGATAATACACAGGCTGCACAGCGATAGCAGCACATTCATTTTCATCAAAGCATGTTCTGGTTGTTTCCAGCGAACCTACAATTTGTGCACAGGTGGCTGCGGCTCCTCACACCTGCCGTCTCGTGTTGCCTTTAACGCTGCCATGTAGTAGTCGTGGGCTGCCAAATGTGTGTCATTGCTGTAAATTGTAAATTGGGCCCTTTGCAGCAGTGTTTGTAATCGTGATTGTTACCCTTGGGATTAAATCCCTTTCTACGTACCTCTGTAATTTTCCCCACCTCCACATGCAGTACGAAGACGAAGAGGCCGCAGAGGAATTCAAAATCTCCAGTTTCGTTACGATGGTGCAGGATTGCTATCGCATCGGAGTACCGTACAGCTCCCAAGGTACACATTATCACATTTTCATCTCCACATTCATTCCTTACACGTGTGTTTAGGAGATAGTGAAAAGTGTTCACAAATAACTGTGTCAGGAAGATGTAATCCAATGCTTTTTCATTAGTTTTCCCTTCTTAACAGCATGTTTCTGTGTAATTACACCAACATGCAGTTGAGTGATACTTTCCCTGCTGCTCGTTTTAGGACACATCCAGAGGTTTGATATGTTTATGGTGGAGAAGTGGCCCCTAATTCAAGCGTTTGCCCTGGAAGGCATCGGTGGAGGAAGCTTTTTTACTATGAAATACAAGGTACATTAACCAACAGCAACAAACACTATGTATAATGTTCTTGTGGTGCTATGCTTCTTATTAAATTTTGTTTTATGTGCTCCTGCAGCTCATGGACATGAGTGAGAAGCTGTGGCAGGTTTACAACAGACTCGACCCAGTGTCCCTGGATAATCTCCTCACCGAGGTACACTGAGTTTAACTGTTATAGCGCTGACACACTCAAACCACAAGACGTACTTGTGTGAAATCTGGACTTTCTTCTAAAATCTTCCTAAATCTGTTGCATCATCAGAACTTTTTTGATCAAATTATCAAAAGAAATAATCAAATTTGTCTTCATGGTCAAGAAAAGTTAGCGTCCAAACATGCTTTTCACTGACCTCAAATATGCTTTTTGAATGCTAACCCTTAGAGGTGTCCCGTCACGCCGGCGTGATATAATTATGACATTTTCGAGACATTACAATGAAAAACTACCGCACGTACGGCGATGTCGTCAACTTCACTCGAAAGTGCAGACTTTAAACTCTCTCCCAGTTTTTGTTTCATGTAGATAGACCACATACAACCGGAGATATGGTGTTGTGAACGTGCATGAAAAAAACAGGAGTAAATGTAAGCGTATGAAATATGCGCCACAGGTGTCGCATTGCTTTCAAAATCCTAGTAATTTTCTGTCGTTTTACAAAACGAAAGTGAAGGAAAGTCCCTGGAAGTGCAGCTCCTGTGACGTGGCTGTCTGCCTCATTCTGGACAGAAACTATAATCGCTAAAAACAGAAAGAAAGCCACACCTGCTTATTATATCGTTGCAAATATTTATATTTAGTTTGATTTTATATCAAATGTACCTTTTCATATACATATCTGTCACCTACGTTTACATTTTCAACTTTCAAAATGCTTCGTTCAGCGTGTTTGTGTTTTTTATTGTAATAAATAATACATTTTTCAAATTCAATTTTATTTTTATGTGTGTTTTTGAGCCCAAAATGTTGATATAATAAGTTAAATTTTTTTAAAAAAGAAGTCAGATCATATAGGTGATGTTGTGCTGAAAAAAAAGACACCAGACATGGGCAAATATGTTTCTATGTGGTATGTAAAGACAAAACTAAAATACCTCAGTCAATATTGAACAGTTTTAGTCATTAATAAAAAAGCTTGAGTTTATTTGGCTGATCAAAAGTCCTGTAAGGTCTATGAAGGTGTGTAAATGACCACATGCCTCTAACCTCTGTGCTGTTTGTCCTGTTTCAGGACTTGGTCGTCTTTGAGAAGCAGTGGAGTGCCTTTTTCTCCAGCATGGACCTGGAGAGTCACCTGTCCATCCTGGAGCTGTCTGAAGCTCAGGCAGGAGAGGTGCGTTTACAGCTGCATCGTCTGACAAAAATAGCAATCTGTGGACAGTCATGTAGGGTGTGAGTGTGTGTGGAACGATACAAATAGCATATAGGCTATTACTGAATGAATTGAAAGTGCATGGCTGGCTGTAGGCTCCTCCCCCGGGTGGTAATGGTACAGTCCAACCTGAAGCTCAGAACACAGAAATAGAAAATTAGAATAATGCCTCAGTTTTGATTGTTGTTTAAAAATCTAAATCCGATGCAACAACAAAGACACGAGAATTAAAAATGTGTAATTTGTGACGTAATCGCCCAACATTTTTTTCATTGGATTCATTTTTGATAATGCAAATCTGCATTCAGTACAGGTTTACAGTTTACGTCATGCGTTCTTCTTTCTCCCACACTTCACTTATGGGTTGTGATGTATGAAAAACCATAACTGAAGCACCCTCTCTGGAGAGCATTCTAGTTTATTCACACTTCTATAAATTGGAAACAAAGGTGGAGAGGCGAGAACAGAGGTGTAGTAGCTGAGAGAAGACTGAGCTATAGTCTGTTTTAGGTTAATGGAATTTACATACAAAGTGTTTTCAAACAGCACTTCAGTGTGTCATCTTAGTGTATGTCTGACACTCTACTTGTGTAAACATAAAGTGTATTCTCTTCGATCTGCAGGCGTTCCGTTTTTATTACTCTTACGGACTGATCTCAAGCAACATCACGGACAAAAGGTATTCTTCATGATCAGCGGTGTCTGAATACTTGTAGAACGAATAAATGCCGTCGCTTAATCAAACGTTTCTTTCTCTCAGTAAAAGCCAGCAGCCCTTTGTGCTGTTTGGGAAACACTCCTCCTTGAAGGATCTGGAGAGCTATTCATTCAACTTCCCTTCGGAGAGTCATCAGGTCCGCAACACGGGGCCTCAGGCTTCCACAGCCAGACATATGGTGAGAAACAGCAGCTGGGCGAGGGGGAATAACTGTATGGCAACAATCTGTGTTGGTGCAGCGAGCAAGTCGGAAATAGAACACTGTATATAGTGAAGAAAAAAAAAAGACGTATGAACCACTTACATTAGCGTGTAACCCCTATTAATGGCTGCACACCTGTTACTGTCAAAGCTCCTCAGCATGTCAAACAGACAACTGGCAGCTTCTCCATGTGTGTACGTTCTGTAAATCACATTCCAAGAGAAAAAAAAAGAAAGAGGAGAAAAGCTGGCGGCGGCAGCACCATCTGGTGAAGTGATTCGGTACAACCAGTGGTGTGCAGGGTGGTGTTTTGTTAAATCTCCCGGAACACGCTGTGGCAGGATGCTTGTAATTGCTGGTCACACTTGTCATGTAAATATGAGATATAGGTAATTTTGCACCACCTTTCTCTGTATCATTTGTCAAGTGGAAACATGCTGTTGTTGGTATCTTGCAAACAAAACACTGTTTACCCCCGTTAGATCCTGCAGTGTGTGGCTCCCAAAGGACCTCTTGCCTGCTCTCGGACCTATTTCTTCGGGACTACGCACACACCGTACCTTGGTGAGGTTTGCTATTTGACTTAAGTAATATTGATCAGTTTCATGTGTGTTTATTTAGTATTTAAGGGGTATTTAATGCACAGGTTAAGCAGGACCAGCTCACCTTTAGTTAGAAACATTAGTGAGAAAAGTTTGTGTTGTTACAGTTTGTTTAGGATGCAGCAAAGGCTTGATTGACTTTATTTATATTATTATAATTATTCTGTTAAATCACACTTTGTTTCTCCAACAGGGAATCAAAACACAGAGCAAAAGAATGCAGAAGTTTTGTAAGTGATATTTTTGGTATTGTAATATTTTTTCCCTTTGGTAAATGTTTCAGAGTGTCTAAAAGAGATGTTTGTTTTCTCCAGACTTCTGTCACAGATTTATTCCGCTGCAGTTCAAGCCGTCCTGTCAGGAATCAAATGCTACTCCTGTACGACCAGCGCTTCCAAGGTAAGAACAAAAACACAGCAGCAATTATAATTATGTATTTGCATGTACAGCTGCTCATTAGGAAATATCTTTGCAGGCTAAGGATGTAGCCGAGAACACTTTCCTGGTGGCGCTGGACTCGATGAACTTAAGTCAGTACCGCAGCTCTCTCAGGTACAGACTGTTTTGTTTATTCAGCATTGTGCCCTTTATGCAATCTTCATCGTAGCCTGAAATTAAATTAGTTGTTTGAATTGATTTGATTCTGTATTTTCTGTCCACAGGTCCAAATGTGAGTTCAGCATCCAAGCGGTGAATATGCAGGGGATGTGAGTGTTAATGTTATGTTTTCTTACAGAACTCATTGTCATTGTATTATTAGAGAAATATTAGCTACACTGATGATTTCTGATAAACCTTTTGGGAGCTTTCAGATCTAAATAGCCTGTTGTACTGATTTGCAGGATCGTTCCTCTGACTGATGAAGACAGCCGCTATGTAGTGAAAACAGTAAGTTAAAGAAGGATAGTTTTATTTGCTTGACCAAACGTGTGCACAGTTTTCCACCTTTGTGCTAATTCTGCTCTCTTTAAGGCCTCCCTGATTGTCCACGACATCCCAGACCTGCAGTGGGACGGAGGGAATCTGGGCTCCGTGGTTTTCTCTGAATCCTTCTTGGAGTCCAGCATCAACATTCAGCAGAGAGGTACGATATTCATTAAACTAATTAGAACCTTATTACTGATTGAATCCATAAAGACGTTTGATCGACATAATAAGCAGCACAGATCCACTGGCCCCTGTTCACAGACAAACAGAGCACTCGTCTAAAAATAGCTGATTTCCTGCTCTGTGGATCATATCTTCTGTGTTTGTCATTCCTTGGCTCTGCTGTTTATGCTTCATGTCAAGTCAGTGTGTCTCTCGTCCTGTAGATGGCACTGTGTCCTCAGACAGCTGCTACACCATCCTCACCACGACGGTGCCTCGCTACGCCTGCTGGCTGGTATGTGCTGCTGGAAAATCAATGGCATCAATGTGAAAAACAGCATTTGATGTCGTTACACACACTCATGCCTAATGTAAGCAAATGTCATTTCCTTCACTGTCCTTTTTCTGCTGTTTTTAGATGGAATCTGATGTCAAGCAGTCCGAACAAGCCCAAAACCTCACTAAGGTGAGCTTCCTGTAGTCGAAGCACGTGTGTCATGTCTGCTGTGTGTGTGTGTTCTCGTAGCCTAATGACGTACAATATGTGTCTTAAACAGAAAGAAGACGGCACTTGTTTGGGAGCTGTTCTGACTGCAGCAGATGCCGCATTCATGTTCTCTAGCAGCCAGCTCTCCACACCCGAAGAAGGTAACTCTCTCTACTCGAGCTATTAATTACGTCGCTAGCTAGCCGTGATTTGTGCCGTAGCAGTGCAGTGCAAAGACATCACATTCACAGTTTATTGCGTAGCTAAGAAACGAGTAAAATAGAATTTAACAAAACATAAATGGGAAATTACTTAGATTTTAATGACAAGTTTCCACGCTCTCTTTTGTCTAGTTTCCATTTCCTTTCACGCAATGCATGATGGTCCATATTGCTCGCTTAGTGACCATCAGCTGTATGCAACTTTTCACGGTGCATTGTGGGATATTTTGAGTGCAAGCTATACAGTCGTCCTCCTATTAAAGAAGGAAAACAGCAGCTGTCACTGAAATAAGTTGAAATTGACAAAAGTAATAATAAATAAAAATTTAATGAAAATCATGACATTACTTTTGAACTGTGGTTCAACAGAAATATTTTTTAAAAAACCCAAAACAAAACAAGCAAACAAGCATGATGGGACCCGTAAACTACTATTTAGTTGAACAACCCTTTGAGACAATCACTGCATCAAGTGTTTTCTGTAACTCTCAGTCAGACTTCTGCACCTGTTGACAGGTGTTTGGATTTCACTGCTCATCAGCAAAGTGCTCTCGTTTGTCCGGGACAGTTTCTTTCTTTCTTTCTTTCTTTTTTTAATTATTCTTTTCAACCACAATTCAAAAGCAATGTCTTATGTCACTAAATTATAATTTAGCAAATTTTTATTTATTACTACTTTTTTCAGTTTCTAGTTATTTGAGTGACTAGTATGAATTTTGCCTTTTCTTTAATGGAAGGTTATGGATACATTTGAGGATAACTGTAGGGTGTAACATTTGTAACCTGACATTTGGACAGGACTACAAATGGCGAACGCCCTGTATATCGTGGGGTGCAGTGGGCGATTTCAGACACAGCCTGGGAGTCATTTCTGAATCTCGCCGTGTACATAATATTGATTGAATTTTTCATTTTAGGCAAGATCACTTTCTTCTCTGAGGGAATCCTGTTTGTCCATTCTCAATACGGAAGCATTACTCTGTCCAAGGATCAAATCAGCAACATCAAGTTCTATCATCCGGTGAGTGTATTTATATGTGACAGTACTTCTTTGTTCTCAGCTGCATTGTGTGGGAGGACACGCATAGATATTTTTCTGTTTGTTCATTTTTCATTCATTTCCATGTGAAATTATGCTAAACCATGCTGCGTATTATGCTGAATCCCTGGTACCTGCTTGTGTGTGACTGATGTGTCCTCTTGTTACCAGGACTTCAGCGCTGTGGCTTCACTGTTCGTAGAATACGAGTCCAGCCTGCTCCCGCACCTCCCGTTCCCTCTCCACAGCTCCGATCAGTGTCTGGTCTTCGCTCTTCAGCCAGGAGCCAAGAGCCACAAGGCCTTCTATTCCAAGGTGAGACTTCAAGCTAGCGGTCGCTGACAGTTTGAGGGTGAACATACGCATGTTCCGGTTTATGTTTGTACGCAAAAGTCTGGGGCACATTATGTATTTTGTCATTTTTTGAAGTAAAAAGAAATAATTACAACACCTGCAGCCGACAGATATGGTAAAAATGAGACAGAAATATAAAGCAAATCTTTATTTCATGAACCTATTGTGGAGTGCGCTAATGTTTGGGCTTGTAAAGTCTCAGAACTTCATTAATTCAAAAGCTGTCAGTTGAATTTTTTAGGACTTGCAAGGCAGTTCAAGAATTATCATTAGGTACTGTCATCTGATGACAATTTATGAACTTTTTTATTAGATTAGGTCGCACGAACCGACGCCAAGTGCTGCAGCATTTATAAGTGCGTTTAAGTGCTTTCTGCCAAAGGAGGTTACTAACTACTGTCTGAGAAAGCTGCCAAACGTTTGCACATGTCAAAAAGACAATTTAATTTATTACTTTTTTTTTTTAAATCCTTAAAAAAAAATGTATTAACATTTGAAGAAAGGTTAATTCTTTATGTCTGTTCGCTGTGAGTGTTGTCGCTTTTTTTTTTAACTTATAAAAATCAACAAAATGCCAACATTTTATCACACAAGTCTATGTGTAACTCATCGCTTGTTACTGTAAACAAAAATATGTTTACCGCTACTTGTACAAACATTTTCTTTAATTTTTTGCTTGCTGTAGGTCTTGTCAGTGTGGAAGAACTCAGAATCTGGTCTCACTCTGCAATTGTTTGACCAAGAGCACTTGACCTGGAACCAGAAAAACATGTAAGGAAGCACTTTTTGCTCCACCAGTTTCTGCTATCGTGAAGTATGATTGGACATATTTTACCAGGGTAGACAATTAGGGTGATATTTGTTTATGAAATCATTAATTTTTTTATTTTTTCCAGGCACAAAAAAATGCAGAAACTACACGACAGTCAGGAGCCGCCAGTGGCCAAACGCAGAGGCAGTTTGAAGACTTCGTACTCTCAGCTGCCAGAGCAGGAAATGTGAGTCCACACACATAGATAGCAACGAGTGTACTGCAAAAGTAGGGTGTATAAAAAGTAAAAAAAAATGCACTGTGGGTAAAATAAGATAAAAATTTGGGTAAATAGCTATACAACGGGAGCATAAATCTACCAGCTAGTAACTGACTGATCGCACGGTGCAGGTTTCCCTCCACTATCGCTGGAAACAGTTGAAAATCTGTACTGCCTGGGGCACTAAAGACCTCCTCAGTCTGTCTACTGAGCAGGACTAAGACAGCAGCCTGACACGTACATGCCCCTCTGTCGACTGATTGAACTGCGGGGAGGGTTTCGGGCGGCGCTCGTGATGGACAACAGCTTATTTAGCCTCCTTCTCTCTGTCACTGATATAATCTGTGCCAGCCCCAGCGCCAGCCCGAGTGCATCGGGGTTGAACCAAACAAGCAATAAAACCCGATGCTAGGTATTGCTTAATCATGAGTACGTATTCCCAAAATAGCATTTAAGCCTGTGTTTCCTGATACACTGTTTTCATCAGTGCTGACCCTCCACACTCGGGAGCTGTTTTCTGCTGATAGAAACCACGTAAGATAATGTGGCTTCATTATTCGGGCCAAAATTAGCTGCGCTTACATTTTTTAAATCCCTGTCAGTGTTGCTAAAACAGGGGAACACAGCACTTTGAGGCAGAGTTTTGGTTTTCCCAGGTCTGACCCAGATTTGTCACCTGGAATAATTACAACTCCAGCTGCTTTAATCATTTGCACCCAACATAGTCTGCCTCTTTGGCACGAGTTAGCATCACCAGTCTCATTTTAAGTGCTATGTTCCACAAGAGATTAAAAACATTTTGTTTTTTTTTATAGAGATGGCTCCTGTGAAATTGCTCAAATGCAATTAATTGTAATTAAAATCCTTGCTGTAAACACACCGACTCTCCACGTGAGCGCCTTACAGATAAAGGATCAGTCTCAGCACGCTGCCTTTATCTAGGTGCGGCAACCAGTTGTGACCCCATTTCTTCTCACTGATTGCTGTTTTCTGGGCTTTTTCAGGTTCCTTCAGCATTTTGCTCTCAGCAGCATCGGTCAGGAGCCCATCCTGTACGACCACCTGGGGGTGCTCTTCCCCTCTGCAGAGCTGAGAAACCCAGCCGCTGGTCAGGGAGACAAGGTGAGTCCACTGACTGAAGGTGCAGAGAATCTTGTCTCCTGTTTTTTGTAATGTAGATATGGTAAAACATTTTTCTTTACCAGCGTCGTAGTTTATTTATGACAAAGAATATCTGGTTTTATTTTGCTTGAAAGGTCGTCATCACCATCGTCACCGGACTGCCAGGGAGCCACAAGAAGACGCTCTGCAACTGCCTAGTGGGCCTGAGCAAAGAATCCGAAAGGTAAGAGATGTTGTTATAAATGTATAATAAATGGATGACTTTCAACATAAACAAAAATAATACACTTTTTTTTTTTTTTATCATTGCACCCACAGGTGGGTGCTGTATGAGCCTGATCCCGACAGATTCTCAGCCTCGCACCTCCAGCAGTATTTATCCAGCTTCCTGGAGAGCCAGAGAGGCACAAGAGGCAAACCTCGTCTGCTGGTGCTCTCACCTGGGTAGGAAACTGACAGAACTGAAGAAGAAGCTTTTCATTCCAATTATACAATAAATAATGTGAAAATTAGAGTCTGACATTTAAGATTTAGGACTGATCTGAATCCTTACAAACAAAACAGATCCTAGAATCCATCCCTTTGGAGCATTTAGAGTATGCTGAGCTTTTACAACTTGATAGCAACGTATGAATCAATTAGGAAAAGACTGAAATAATTTACTGTTTACATTTACTGCTTACAGGTACACAGATGTTCTGGATATTGTCCAGGCAGTCCTCTTCCATCCGGACCCAGTGGTCCAGGCGTGTTTCACCATCGGCGCCGTGACAGCCTGTGTGAACCCCCTCGCCTCCTGTATGGAGCATCGGTAAGGTTTCTGGGTCTCAAATGAAATGAGCTTCAACTGCCGACTCGTAGTATCATGTTCATCATTCTCTGACATCAGCTAACTCTTGTTTAGTCTATCTACTCGCCACCAATAAGGCATGAAACGTGACTTAGAAAATGTTGTAACTCGCGTCAAAGAATGACAAGCTATGCCAGTTTCACAACAAAAAATACTCAAGTCACTCCTGCTGCACAGTCCGCTGTTTACCTATGAAGTATGTTCCAAAAAATACAGATTTTTAAATCATTTCTAGCACAAGTATCAGTTTCCCTCCATTGTAATGTCGCTGCATGCCAAAAAGGTAACTAGCAACCAATGTTGGCCATGTTTTACAACATGTTTCACCCTTTTGTGCCAAGTTAAAAAGGTTAAGTAAGCTTAAACAAACAAGCACCGAGGGCTTCACTCAGCTATGTTCTCATGTGACATATGGACGGACCAGATGATATCAGACAGAGCTGGATGATGAAAAATTGTTGAAGCACCGGAGGTTTCCAGGACAAGGTTACATGACACTTTTAGCTATTAAAACTCAAGGCTGTGTGCCTTTTTACAGAGAGGATCAGCACTACATTTAATCTCACTCTCCTTTTGTTACAGGCTTTATATGTAGCTTACAGAGCTTCTCACTGTCGTAGATTGACTGAGCTGCTCCGCACAATATGACATACCACTCCGGTTAATAGGCTGTTTTCCAGCGCACAGCCAAGCCGGCCTGCCCGGTGATACGTACATACAGATGAAGTCAGTCGAGAGGGTTCAGTCTTTACAGCATGCTTGGAGAACTACTGCCATTGTCTGTCTTCCACAGAAATTTAATTAAAAAGCCAGTAGGTGTTATAATAAAAGCCCTGGTAAGCAGCTGAACTATTCTAATTCGATTCTGCAGAGTAACATTCATAAATGTTGGATAGTTACATAAATATTTAAAACATAACACTAATAATGAAAAGCCCTTTGGACACTGTGATTGTCTAACAAGCTCAGCTTTAATAATAAATCTTCAAGGTGTTTTAGATCTTTGCGCTATGAAGATGTTCTGTTGACCCCCCGGTTACACTCCGACGAGCAGCAGTGGAAAAATGTGTAATAAGAGGTTTAGTGAGCAATGCTGTTTGCACTGACGTTTCCATTCGAGGCATCTTGAAGCCTCCTGTCACTGTCTGTTGCCGTAGACTGTGTGGAGGTCTGCGGACCCCTACTATGGCGCTAATTGGGTGTGGTTAGCCCAGCTTAGGCCTGACCTGCCTGTCACCCCCTTCAGCATAGCCCTTTAATCCCCCAGATCCACATGTGCGACCAACACAGCCTCTTCACTGAAGCTCATCAGTCAGTCATGATCTATTCTTTGTGATGGATGTAGACAGTTCATTACATCAGGACAGGAAAGATAAATGCCTTTCAAATTGCTGATCCCCCCCCTCCAAGAGCTGCCGGGGAGGGTCTGCGGTGTTTGGAGGGAGACTTGGCTCAGAATGCTTATTCAGAAAGTGGTGCGTAACGCTGATTGATTTGAAAACTCGGGATAAATTATTAGAATAAATTAAATAAATTGGATTATCGAAAGCTTTTACATTGGTCAGTTGCCAGTCAGAGTCATGATGTCATGCAATGAAAAATGCCCCGTGATGGATAACCGGCCCGCTAGCCGAGGGCCATAACATGGAATTAGCCCGTTTATTGCCGCACAACTTTGGCATGCGCCCATCAGTCATAAATAGAGTTCTTATTAGCGATGATATAAGACATGGGTTAAATAAAGAGGGCCGCTAACCGAATACATTAAAACACGGCTCTGACATGTGTTGCGTGGTTTGGAAGCTTTTCAGCTTAATCTACAACACGACAGTGGCCGTTTCAGTCAAGCTCGATTTGCATTTGATTGTTTTGTGACAGTCAAGTATGTTGTGTGTTTGACCTAAAGTGTTTCCTGTTTTGTCTGTCGCTGTAGGTTTGCGTTTCCTAAGCTGTTGGAGCAGTGCAGCCAAGGTTAGTCCTGTCTGGTGAATTGTTCTACCATCGACCTACCACCTACAAAATACTTCTCTCCTGAAATACTGAGTAGTTCAGTGATGTATAGATCTTCCAGAAATGTAATGCTCTTTGTAAAATGTTGTTTTGTCTTTGTATTGCTTCATTACGACGTCATTCATTGATTAATTACTTTAAATGGTAAATAGAAGGCTTTAAAGTGCTGCTGCTCTGACGTGTGAAGCGTGTCGCACCTTCCACCTCCTTCTCTGCTTAAAAATGCAAAACTGGAACCTTTAAACAACATATTACACAGACACATAGGTCACAGCGTTCCACAGAAGATGGAAAGTCTTAGCACATCTTGAAATATTGCGCATTCCAAGTATGTCGAGAGATTTTATTTTCCACGAAGAACTCGGTCGTGACGGTGAAAATGTCTCCCGTCTTGCAGTTATTCTGCACCACGGCTGTAGGAGTACTACAGCTTGTTTTGTTTATTTAAAGACTTAGAGCGCGTTTAATAATAGGTCTGCAACAAATAATCCTTCAGTTATTCGTCAAGTATGAAATTAATCATCAACTACTAAAAATATAACTGATAATTTTAAGATTTTCGGGTGTTTTCTGGGCTCCTTTATGACAGAAAACTGAATATCTTTGAGATTTGAACAAAACAAAACATTTAAAGCACCATCGAGGGCTTTGAGAAACAGTTTTTTTTTTTATTTTATTTTATAGATCAACCAATGAATCTATTGTTGGAGGAAAATTAAAGATTGATCAGCAGCTGCAGCTCTCTTTTAATAAACACTGTATTTATAAAAACCGATGATAGGCTCAGCACTGCACTGCCGCAAACTTCGCTGCATGTGTGAGGGTACACAGTCTCCACCTCATTGTGTATTCTGAAGTGACACATTGCCGTCTTTGTTACGGGATCCAGACAAATCCCTATTTGTGCTGCAGAAAGGAAGTCTGGCTGAGCAGAGCCGCGATGGGGATGAGCAAGAGGCAATCACCGCAGTTTAATCTGCCTCAGAATAACTTATTATACCCTTTATATCAGTCCAATCTTTTGAAGGAATCAAAACGTCAGTGCAGCTTCCAGGTGGGACAGCAGCAGTAACGCCACTAAATCAAACCGCGGCGAGACACATGCAGGTTTTTGTATTTCCAGGACGGTGATCCATTTTCTCCAGGAATCCACATTCACGCTCTCTGTCTCTCCCTCTGTGTGTGCCTCGTTGTATGTCAGGCATTGTGAGTACAGTGGTGTTCACCGGGCTGACAGCAGAGAAGCAGCACCCTCTCATGCAGCATGTTCAGCAGTTGGTACGCTCTGCCAACCCCACGGCTGCCTTCGTCCTGGCAGAGAGAGGAGCTGTCACCTGGTAGGCGCCCGCAGAATCACGATCAATGCCGCAAACAGTCATTTAGCTGCTTTTATCTGCGTCTCAAACATTCACCCCAGGCTACACTTTATTCCACTTTTCTTTTTTTTTTAAGTCCAAAATCTGTTCGGTCGGAGCACTGCTTAGTTAACACATTTCTCACTGCACTCTTGACTCAATATACTGTTATTAAAAGTATTTTGTGCATAGAAAGTGCGTTTAAAAGTAGACCATTTTAAATAATATTCATTCTTCATTGTATTTCTTTTTCTTCACAGGAATGAAAATGCGATGCTGATTTTGTCAGAGAGCAGCTTCAACGAGCCTCAGATGCTGAGAGCACGTTATGTCCTCTACCCCGGATGGTAAGACCTGTATGGCCGCTGAACGACAGATTGATTCCTGCTTCGGCTTTCCTCAGCGCTCGCCTCCCCGCAGTTTAATTGCCACTCAGCTGCAGTGGTGGGGGTATCGTCTGCTGATTGCTGTAAAGCCCCTCAGGGCATCTCGTGTTCTATCACCAGTCGCCTCCTGGCAGCACAGTAACAAGCTGTTGGCCATGCAGTTGCCATGTACACAGAGGGGGTCTCTTTCCCTTTGGACCCGGTCCACTCAGCCTTCATGCCTCAATGGTCAGCCTAATATGAACCCCTGCTTAATCCTCCCCTCGGATCATACACCGGCTATCTGGCCACAGTCGGGCTCTTTAATTCACTCATCTTCAAGCATTAATTTTGTGCGCCGCTCGCTTATACGAGTGTGCTTGAGCTGCTCTCAGACCTCGACAGGAGGCTTTCTCACCTGCCGACGTCGGGTATTTACAGATTTGTCATCCACTCCCACAGTTTCGCCAGCAAATCACATCCACTGGCCCCTTTCCTGCGAGCAGCTGGTAGAGTAAACAAGTTTCCAGCCAGAGACAAAATGTAGCCCAAACATTTGGCTTGTTCTCGACTTAACTTTCTCACTATTTGTGTAATGTGCACATGTTCTGTGTTCCAGGTGCAAAGGGCGTTTCTTCTGTGGTTCCGGGGCTCTGGTCCTCACCCAGCAGCGCGTGGCTTTCAACCGGCCCCTAGAGAGGCCTCTATTTGTCACCCGCTGTAAAGGTGAGATGGAAAGAAAGGCCCCCCTCCTCCTCCCTCTCTCCTCTCCTCTCCTTTTTTTTTTTTTTTTTTGACTCTTACACGTGACAGAAGCTCCAGATATGAGCTGGCAGGATTTGGTTGTGATTACATAAGCTGTCTTTCCCTCCAAATATGGAGACAGCTGAGGTCTCAAAGTAATTATCAGCCGTCGCTGTGAAATAATCTGTATCCCCAAAGGATGCACTTACAATGTTTTGCCACCAATCTCGCTTTTCAGGAAATTGTTCATTTGCATTATCATTGTTAAATTGTGCGATTTGTTCGACAATACTCACTGCTGAAGCTTTTGTGCTTTCTCCTGCAGCAATCAAGTCATCGCTGAGGCCGAGCCCCTTCCGAGGAAATGTGTACAACGTTTGGGGAAAAGTCAGGTTTTCTGGTAGGAATTACCTGTTTTTTATCTCATGAAACACATTTCTGCTAACCTTTGAAGTTTCCAGATCAGACTGTGAATTCCAGACAGCTTGCTTACGATGAGCGCTACTAAACAAATGTGACTTCTTCCCTCGGTGGTAATATTTGACCTGCACTTCCCAGTTTTGGGGAATTCTGAGAGAAAAGATTGCTCTCAAGGCAGGCAAGAAGCTCCTGACGGTAGGAATACTGCTCGGTTGTTGCTCTGGTGTCCGGTGTTTAGAATTCAGTTCATAGTCCACTGGTTTGTTTTCCTCCACGTAGTTTTCTCACTCTTTTTTTATTTTTTATTTCTGTAGAGCTGTTGCATGAGGAGAGAGAGCGTTCAGGTGTGCAGATATTTGCAGAGCGTTGGGAGGATTCAGTATGAAATGAGTGTGGTGGTTGTATGATCCTGAGACTTCCCGTAGTGTGTATCTCAGTCACCGTCTTCAGGGTAGTGTATCATTTGCATCACTTTAGTTGTTTTATTTCAGCTGTTGTGCATTCGACGCATATTTTCATAGGGTTAGGTTCATCGTGTTTTGTTCTACACGTGAGTTCTGTGAGCCGTGTTGGGAGCAGAAGGGGGCCGTATGGATGTTAAAACATTAACACCCCACCGACAGCATGCTGGTAACACATGAAGCCGCTGCAGCAGGTGTTACACAAGGTGCGAACTGTACGCGAGACGAATCTGAGCCCTTTCGTCTGTGAAAACCTCCAGACTCGGAGCAGCTGATGGAGGTGAGCTACAGCGCGGCGAGCGGCAGCCTGAGCATCGTCCCAGATCAGAGCGCTGACCCGCTGACCCCGGGCCCCGAAGACACCAACACGTCCTGTTTCCTCGTCTTCGATGGCGTCGACCTCACCGAGGATGGGCTGAAGGACTGGCTGCGACTGTGCGCCAAGCAGGTGATAGAGGCTCACGTATAGATCTGTTATCATGCAGCGTCAGTCGGGTATGAAGTGTTGTATAACCGCAACCCTGTTGTTCCTCTTTGATGTTTACAGAGGCAGACAAAGATACCTAAGAAGACTAAAAATACCCTCACACCACAAGAAATCAAGCGCATACATGTAAGTATCTATTGTCTCACTGACACGCTCCAAACTGCACATCACAATGATATTATGTTCATAATTATTAGTGCAGTGCATAATAATTAGCTCATAAAAGGCTCCAAACGAGCAAAACTACACGCAAAGAGGTAGCGGGGTTATGGGGTACAGACTGTTTTCCATGAATAAAAGACACAAGCACGTGCTGTTCAGAGCTCGAAGAACCTCGTGAACTCACTTTCAAGTATTTCTGCTTGTTTGCTGCACACATCAGAGTGTGCTCATATTGATAATGACATACTTATGTGCATGTTTACCAGAGATTTGTCTGTGCAGAGCCGCACAACAGCTACAGCGAAAGACAGAGAAAAGTAGGTGCTGTAAACACAAGTCGGTTTCAAAGTAATTCCAAATTTGTAAAATGAAATGCGCCGTATTGGTTAGGAACATATGTGTTTTGTGACAATGAAAGCACAAACACGTCAATGGCTGTTGGTTTTATTGTTGAGAAATGCCAGAAAACAAAGATTTTCAATGTTAGATTCAAGTCTGGTTGAACATTTGTTGTTCTTGTTTCCTTGTTTGTAGGTTTTAGTTTTTCTTTTAAGCGAGCTGGTGCCGTGTTCAGGAACTAAATTGATGTGGGACTTTTCTGATCGATATTTTTTCCAGGTGAAAAGACGTTTGGAGCCGCTGCCACCAGGCTGGTTCTACAACGGTCATCAGTTTGTCGACATCTTTGCAGAGAAAAGAGACTTCCATCCCAGTATCCTTCTCATTGCGGCTGCTCCCAATATATTTAAATGCCATTTTGTCAGGTTTTCTTTGTCATATTTTAAATTCAGAGGCAGGTGCGCTTATAACAGGCGTTAAACAAAACCTCAGTGTTTGGGTAAAGCTTGTTTGATAAGTCTTGAGCCAATTGGATTCACAAATACAGATACAAGCCTGACCTTTTGACCCAGAAGAACTGACTAGTAATCATGAATCAGTGTTGGCTGTGGTGACTGTGTCGTTGTGGTCCTTACATCGCCGTCGCTGCAGACATGGACGAGTTCATCAAAGAGTACATCGCCGAGGCCAACAAGCACGTCGAGCATTTCAACCGTCAGCTGGAGCTGCAGCAACAGCCCGACCTGTTTGATCCGTGATAGAGTCTCTGTGTACGTCCGCTCCATCTGTCTCGTTTTATTCGTGAGGGAAGCACTGCGGGAGGGGCAGGGAGGGCACAGGGGTTATGTACCGAACACTCCACTCGAATGGTCAATGTGTGTTCACGCCACATGCATCTTCAGCTGCTAGAAGCCCATTCCAGAAAGCTGTATTCCTTGGCCACTTTGTCTCACTGTTTGGTGGCAGGTGAGCTTTAGAACAGTTATGTCACCGCTAAGTTGTGTATCATCGCCGTCGAAAGCGAGCGTGTTAATTCAGATTAAGTCATGATTTGCACACAAATGTGAAGCAACACAAGAGTCCGTCTTTACACCAACGCGATTACGCCACCGAGCCTGCGAGCTCCGAGACTTTCACAATTGAAAGGGAATTTCCGACCGCACACTCCTACAGCTTGTGCATTTCTGTTTATCACAGTTGGCAAATTAATGCCTCTATTTCTGGGCAGGCGTGGATAGCCGTGTGATTCTGGTGGGCTCCCTGGTGGGGTTTCTCAAGAATCGCTCCTCCTCTGTTGTCACCCAATCCGTGGCCCACCTGTTAGCTTGTCTGCAAGCCACGCTGCAGCAGAGGGAGCGCTTGGCCATAGGGCTGTAAACACGGAACAGGCTGTTGGCGGCGGACAACTGATGAATGATGCCATTAATCACATAGCTATACGCCGTCCCAGTGCTTTATTTTAAGACTCCTGGAGTGAATCTAAATGAAAGTGCAATAATACACACTTCAGTCCCCGCAGCGAAAAGTGTTGTCGCTGTAAAACAGCTGAGGCGTCGCAAAACACGGCGAACCACTGAGGTCACCAGAAACTTTCCCCTCAGTCACCGCTTTCTGTTTATTATAACGCTGCTAGTTAACAGCGAAGACAAAACGTGGTCACAGGAAGTGGAGTTAGGCTTCGCTGCAGCCGGGTGCTGAACACTCATTGCACCGCTTTTATTCTCAGCGTGAACATTCCCAAATGATTTCGTCCTGTGTGTCACTGTTTGGGTAGGAGTGGGGGCAACACGAAACAATCTGGGAAAACCTTGATTTGAATTTATTGTTTAGTTCGTTTTGGGTAAACATGAGTAGAGCCATGAGTAAAAAGGTATAAGGCTTTGTGTCGGTGGTGTGATGTTGCAGAGAATCCTTCATTAATGAGTAGTTAGGCTACTGTCTGCTCTGCGATCGTGTGTCACACTGATGTTCTATGCATGTCTTCCTCTCGTCGGGGTTCCTACGCAGGTTTTAAATGTCTTTTCTGTGACTCGTCCAGAAAACCTGTGCCGTTATTTATGCACTCGAAGTAGAAGTTGTTTCAAAAGTGAGAAATAATCGTGACGTAGAAGGTGGAATTGTGTAGGAACCCCGCCACAGTACGTCGGAGATGAGGTGGCTTTCATTCACTATGGGGTTAGCAATGTACCACGCAGACTAAACGGCGTTTGGGCCAAGTGGTCGAGGTTTCTCTCGAGTAACGCGATACTGACAACGGAACGTTTAAATGCACATGGCAGTGTGCGCATACTGCTGCTACTACAAATGTATGAAACATTGCTTTGACCACTGTACCAAAAAGTTGCCTGTGCTCAGCAACGAGTGCTCTGAGATTTTTAGCACGCCAGAGAAGAGAGGGAGGTTGTTTCTGATTAAAATATCTTATTTTTTCAGCGAGGAGAGGCTTGCATATCAGCGAGGTTAAAGCTCACTGATGTAATATCTAACAAGATGTTTGTCAACTCTCGTCGTTTCATTCTCGACATGTCTGCCTGACAGCGCTGTCAGCATCGAGCAGAATCGAGAGCATCAATCGTTTTTAAAATTCCGGCGATGCGATTACACGATTAGCAAGTTCTTCTTCCCCTCAGACAACCTCTCTGTCTGGTGCAGATTGAAATGATCTTAAGCCTGACACTGCTGGCCCCATCCGTCCACTTTGATCTGAGCAAGCCATACCGTCTTACGCTAGATGTGCTGCTGTCTTTTTATACCAATCACATGTAGTTTAGACTAGCACATAGCATAGCAACGCCTCTAACATGTATTACCCTGGCATGTTCCAGATAGCCGGCAAAAGAGACGTGGAGAGGAGTCGCTCGCTCCGATAGCTCCCTCTCTTTTACTCTATCAAAGAAGTGCAATTGTTTCTCGTGTTTTTTTTTAATATATTCTCCTTACAGTACCCTCGAACGGCTCTTTAAGGACAATGCAGGCGAAACAAACGAGCTGCCAAATTCTCCGTCTCTCGCAGCTCGCATTCTGTGGTCTGCCGGATTCCTGCTTTAAGTGCTTGTAGCTCACATAACGAGTCATGGGTTCGGCGCAAAATTAAATGCCGGCGCTTACGAACGACTGATGTAACAAAATGCAAACAGATTACGGTGCATCTTTTTAATGGAGCGGGATAATATATAACTTAAATCCTGCGGTGACAAAACGATAACCTTTTGTTTAAGCTGGATCCTCTCTTTTTTTTTTTTTTGATGCACTCTGTAAGCCGTCTGTTTGGAGCAACAGTTCTATAGTTATGTAATACTGCAGAGAGTTGCCGCGATTGACAGCGAATGTAGTCGTGAGGCAGACGTATGGGAGGCTGAAGGTGCCACAACTTTAAAACCTGCTGCACGTCAAATAAAATGAGAGAAAGCAGAGAAATCCTAATTGGCCAAAAGATCAAAAAGTCGTCCTTAAAGAGTCGAGGGTTATGTAAGACGTTTGTGATATTTAAATCAAATTAACACTAACAGATATACACGCACACACGTATACACGGCTTCTACTACAAGTATGTCTACACTATCCTGCATGTGTCGAGATGTCTTGTGAATATATTCCGACAAAATTGCCTTTCACCAAACTGGTACAGAAAAGAGAGATCGCAATTTATTTTAACATATCTGCTGAGAATTTGAGAATTACCTCGAAATATTTTTGTAAGACTGTGAATTGAACATTCTAGATGCAAACAACAACAAAAAAAAAGTTTCCTTTCGCACAAAAAAAAGCAGATGCAATTTTTTTTTTTGTAGAAAAAGAAAAAAAAAAACTCGAGAATCTGATGAGACGTCAGGTTTCTCTGATCCAGCAGTGCCTCGGCTACGGCTAAGAAAAGCAGAGATTAAAGCTGCGTTCAGAGCTCCATCCCTCTCCCCGTCGTCGTCAGGGCGGCGGAGGAGGAGGAGGAGGTGTTGTCAGGCGAGGATCCGTCCTTCAACAGTGTTGGTGAAAGGAATCCATGGAGTCGTTTCTCTTTTTTTTTTTGTTTTTACTAGAGCCAGAGGGTAAAGTAGGCGGGGTCACACGGGGAGGCCGCTGGCGGGCTCGGGATAATTCAGGTACTCTTACAAACTAACCAAAAAAAAAAAGATGGTGGAAAAGGGGCAAGGCTAGTTCTTATAAATTTCATTTAACGGTACGTTTCTCGCTGGTTTACTTTGGTTTAGTTCAAGTTGAGGAGAGAAAGCTGCATTTTTGTGTCTAGAGAAATAGAAATGTTGTGTTTTTAGCCCGGCCCGAGCGCGGATATAGAACCTTTATACGGAAGGATTGAGTTTGTGACTAAAGTTGGGTGGCTCCTACTTATTGCACATGGGACCCCCCGCAGAGCCCCCCACAAGCTCCCCAGTGTGACGGCTACGAAGCCCTCTGGCAGACCGAGCACTCCGGTGTCTTCATCCTGTACGTGGAGGATAGCCACTCTGTAGCTGAAGTTATAGGACAAAAACAAAGTTTGGTGTCAATTGGTTTTTCGAAGAAGGGAACCGTGATGCGAAAGGTTTTTTGTTCTATTCTGGTTTTGAGAAAAAAACAAAAAGAAAGAGGTCAGCGATGTGGAATGTATCTCGGATATTTTTATGGTATTTTTGTGCTCATTGGAGAAAAAAGGCAAGCTTGAGAAATGGAGTTTTAACCGACCAAATACTCCTCAGGCCTCAGGGGACTGTTGATGCTAATTGTTTGGGTTAAAAAGGGAATCACAGGCGCTCCACACCCACGGTCCTCTCAGACGGCGGGAAGAATTCGCTCAGGTGTATTTATTGCGTCCGTTACCTGAGATCGCACATTTGCCCTGTAAAACACGAGTCTCACAGAAGAAGATGGAGGTGAAATTGTGGTTAATGTCTTCTGTCTGTAGCCACAAACCAACCGGCCGCGCAACAAAAAGGAAAAAGAAAAAATAAATGTTCACGTCAAGGAACAGTTGTGATTCAAGTCGGCAGGCGTTTGATGTCGCGATGGCAGAATTAGATCTGTGCAAGAAAAAAGAAAAAAAAGCAAAGGGCTCATTTCTTCTCCCCTATCTGCAGGCCGTCCAAAGTGAAAAAAAGGAAGAAAAAAAAACTTCTTATGGTCTCTATTGTGATGAGAAGCAAAGCAAAAAGAAAAAAAAAGGTAACTTCAAAAGTGCCAAACCGACTTCCACATTCTGAGGGCGTTCACAGAAAGTGAGCAAAAACTGAATTGCATTTGCACAAAACGACTTTAACTTCTGTTTTTTTCCTGTGACTGATGCTTTTATAAACTAATTGTTGTATTTATTGCACCACGTAATACATTAAATATTTATATGGTTGATCAGAGCTCCGTCTCCTGTCCGTTAATGCCTCGTTTCAACACTCATTCGCTGCACCGTGGCGGCGCAGCTGCGAGAGGCTGCATGTAAAACGCTGCACCAGCCGAGCCACGGAGGTCCCTGTTGTGGGGATTTGGGGAAACCTGGACTAAACACGGAGCGAACGTACGAGTGTTTTGTTTGCTGAAGAGAAACGGCAGCTGAAGCAGCCCTGAGAGAATGTGAGGAATCCTGTCCTGCATGTCCCTCCATTTCCTCACGCTGCATGTGTGTGTGTGTGTGTGTGTCTAAAAAGCAAAGGAAGAAAAGCCCGTGCGTGTCCTTGTATTGTTGCCAGGCAGATACAGCCCTCCACATGGCTAACCTCTGACATCAGCGTTTCCTCGCCTCTCCGCTGCCACCACAGCGCCGCCACTTTCTCCCCAGCGACTCAAGGCAAGACCGCCCGCCCAGATATACACTTAGCGCACTTAAAACGCGCTCTCGCCGTATCTCCTCCACCGTTAGCCGCCCTTTTTTCTCTCCTCCCCGCCCTTCCATTGTTGTATTTTTACCGAGGCACTGAGCTGAGGCTATTTGTGGGCTATTATGACAGCCACATGTAAACACTCATCACTCTCGCTGGCGTCTGCCAAAGCCTGCTGAGTGGGTCCAGGTCACTACAACAATGGATCACTGTGCTGGATCTGTTCACTTTCTCCAAATGGGATTACAGGGGAGTTTCTTTTCCTGTTGTTTTTTTTTTAAAACTCTAATAAGGTGACACGTTGCATGATTTTTCTCGGATCGAAAGAAAGTTCTGCAGCTAGGTAGGAGTTTATAAATCACACTTAGCTTAAAGTAATCCTGTCTAGCCTCACAATAAATCCAACATCATAATAAATCACTATGAACGAAGGATTTACTGCAGAACCGCATTGCAGCTGAGGCAATGTTATTGCCCGGTTAGCTCTGAACTTACACACATCACATCGTAAATCGAATAAAGTTTCGAGTGTGTAATGTTCATTCCGGAAACACGACTAAACTTCGTTAGCATGCATGCTAAGTCTACTTTACTGGACAGAGAAAATGAAGCAGCGTCTTAGCATAGCTGCAAAACATAGAAGCCTGAAATTATTCATAGCAACACCAAATTTTGATTTATAGTGAAATTTTATGCAACCAGTTGGTTTCTTTTGGCTGAAAATGACATGAACAAGTAACAAAAGATAACTAGCAAACTTCAACTGTTTGTGTGTTTTTTTCCTCATTTTTACTGATGTCTAAATTAATTTCAAGCCTTTGAAATTGAATGTTTTGAGAAATTGCAGCGTTGTACCATCCCAAATGGTAATTTCTACCATGTTCTAGGGTGTTCTAATTTTAAGATGAGAAAAGGGATGTTCTGTAATCAGTTAGCTGTCAATGGTAAGTCATGGTTTGAAGCAAAGAGCTGCTGTTAGGGTTCATCCCAGAGACAGAGCTGCACATTGTAGCAGCTCACAAGACAGAGAAAGGCTATAAAGTCATATCCAAGTGTTTTCAAGTGCCAGTGGATACAGTGTGAAGCAAAAATTGCGAGGAGTTCCACACAGAAACACCTCAAAGGACATGGCGGGAACCTTAAAGTAACTCATGCACCGGCGAGAACAGTGGAGACCGAGAAGAGTTCGCTGATTCTGGTCGCAACATCTCACTTAGACACCGACCAAAGCTATTTTCCATGGACAAAGACCAAAACGGACTCCGCTTCTCCATGACGGATACACAAAACGCTCATGTGACTAAAGAAGAATGCCTTTGGTCATATTTCTTCAAATGGAAGAAACATTCAATCCCAAGAACCCCATCCCGAATGTGAAGTTTTGTGGGTGTTTTTTGTCAAAGACTCGGGGGAGAGAACTGTAGATGAGCGTGATGGCAAGGAAACCTTCCAACCTTAAAGACCTGGAGATTGAAGAGTGGTTGGAAAATCCCAGTGGAGACACGCAAAAAGCCAATTTGGGCATTTTTACAATCTTTAACATTTGTAATGCACTGTCTTTTTGCCTTTTGTTAGTTGTTTACACCATTACCAACCAAAGGAAACCTTTTGGTAAAATACAAACTCACTCTAAATCAAGTTTTTGGCCTGGTTAAGAATAATTTGGGGATTTAAGAACAGGTATGTATTGCATAGACGTAAATCCAAATTGTTTTTTCTCAGTGTTTATCTCACAGGCTACCAGGACACCTAACCCATAATACCATTTAAACTAAAGTTATACTCTGATGTAAAACAAATGTTTAATGACCATTAAAAGGCCACTTTTACACAATTAACATGATCGTGAAGAACTGCAATGATGTGCAACTGCTGCGAAACAAAAGACTTGTCCAGATTTAGGTATTGTCTTCACAGTATGTTTTTATTGCACACCCTTTGACAATAATCATTCATAATGCAGGTTTGTTTCTCACAATAGTAATAATAATAATAATAATAATCCACTCTTAATCAGTATCACATTAAGGCCGAGCACCACAGCTGAGCACCATTGTTAAGCGAGAACAGTTTTTTGTTTTTTTGTGCTAAAAACTACCTGGATCAAATAACAGCTTCCCCTGTGAGTCTGCTATTGTATTTATATTGCTTTACACAGTCACAGCAATATGTTTTAAAAATCAATTTCCATTCACTTTTATGTGACTGGCATTAAAATAGCTTCATCTGTGTTACGTCAGTGCAGCTAAAACCTGAAGGATCGTGGCTCACAGTTTGGATTATTTGCTAATATTTTCAACCCTATCAGTATATCTTCATTTGGCAGCTTGTTGATTTCACACTTCTCTGTCCGGCTGCTTGATGTCAAAGGTCATCAGAACGTCCATGTCGCTGGACTCCCCGAAGGAGGCGGCCAGTTTCAGCTGCTGGAGCCCGTTCCCGCTGGAAACCTCCGCCTCCCACACCCTGCTCTTGTTCAGTTTCAGATCAGTTCGCGTCTCGCCCACCACGCTCACCCGCTGGGCCCCGGGGACCCTCACCCGGAAGCGGACCCAGGAGAGGGGCTCCAGCAGGCCCACGCGAGGCTCAAAGAGCACGCAGCCTTTCCTCCAGGCCGAGTACACGCAGGGGAACGGTGGCCCCGGCTGATCGCAGCTGTTCCTCAGAACAAAGTCACACATGGGGCTGAAATCTCCAGCGGGGGTGATCCTCGCGTAGAGGCCCAGCCGGTAAACCCCGACGTCGGGCAGGCTGACGCTCACCGTCACCTTGCTGTCTGTGTACGTGCAGAACAAGTAACGCGAAAGAGGAAAAGCCGCCGTTTTGCTCTCTTCTCGGGCGAGCACGCTGTGAAGCTCAAGGTCCCGCTGGTTATAAAAGGTGATGTTACACTTGCCTTGCTGGGTACTCACCACTGCAGCCGTGTGACTGAATTTGGACAACCCGGCCTCCGACGTCCGGGTTCCTGGTCCGCAAGCCGAGCCCAGGTTGGGGGGAAACAGCTCGTCCGGACCCATCACCTTCCCTTTGCAGTGCAGCAGGAAGTTTGCAGCGTTCTGGAACTTCAATTCCGTTTTCTCATAGTCTCGCACAAACACCGAGAGCCGGTAGAAGCCGTGCAGGGGGCAGAGGACGTGGCAGGTCAGGGCGCCCGGTTGGATCTGAGTTGCCAGGCAGCGCTTGGCCACAGCCGCCTCCATGTCCGGGTGAACCAGTTCACACAGCACCATCAGAGGCCTGGAGGTCTTCAGCACCAAATCAAACACACCGTCTTTCACCTCGGCAGCCTCGCTGCCCTGACTGCTGTCCGCGACGCCCAGAGATCCTGCAACCGGCTGCAAGCCCCAAGACAAGAAGGGGTTCTCTGGGATCTCCTCCATGGCCCTCGGGGTCGGACACTCGACCATGAAGGAGCACACCCAAATCAGAGGCGTGGTAGCCGCTTCCGGTCTGGCAAACACCTTCACGTCGTAAGTGCCACTCGCAGGCGGCAGCAGCTGCAGCTTCATGCTCCGATTGGAGACGGTTAGGAGGCCGGACGAGGAGTTGATGGAGTCTTTGTGCTCCGAAGATCCACAGTGAAGGAGGTCCTGGTGCTGCGTGATCTCGTAGGTGAAGGTTGCAGGTCTGGAGAAACCGAGGGACACGTTCGCCTCGCCATCATCTGAGAAAGAAATCAAGAAGACTAGCTCAGTGAAGAAAAAGCTTTTAGTAAGAACAACACATTTGCGTGCTTCTTGTGAAATCAGAAAGAACTGATGTTGGACCTGTGACGATGAGGAAGTGATGAGGTTGAATGAGCCGGAGCCCCATGGTGAAGAAGGCCGACGTCTTGAAGACCCTCCTCTCGAACTCCTCCAGGGCGATGGGCGCGTCCAGGAGCTGCCACTTTTCCTCATCGGGGAAGTGCGAGTCGATGAACTCCTCCGGGTCCGTCAGGAAATAGAAATCATCAAACCTTGGAGGCAACAGATGGAGACGGCAGACTGGTTTGAGACTCGACTCGCTGCGGGTTGCGAGCCCATTAAAATAAACAAAGAGCAAACTGTGAAACTTCGTCACGGGCGCTGTGTCGGGCTGTAAAAAACAGCTTTAAAACCGCGCTTTGGATTTCTTTGCTAAACTCCATCATACCTTTTGACGAAGCTTTCATGCTCCATATCCACTCGTCCTGCTCCCCAGCAGGCGTCAAGCAGGAACCACTGTCCTCCCAGAAGCACAGCGTTCCACAGGTGATCGGATTTCACATGCTTCAGGCTCTGACCCTGACGGTACCCGACGCCCTTACTGTGGCCCGGCACTTCTTGACACTCGATGCCCACCTCCCTGTAAACACAAACGGATCACTGCCTTTTGTTTATTCGCATCCCATGTCCTCAGACTCGAGTTCAAGGCTGCTGTGCACAAATTCAGCACGCATCATTTTCCTGGAAGCACCTGCCTTCACTTGAGAGGGGATCAAGGATGCATATACAGCATGGAGGAGCGGGGCTGTACTGGTGTCTAAAAGAATTTATTTTTTTAAAGTCTGTTGTTTTTGCTGTAAACAATTAAATTGATGCACATTCGCTTAAGTGCTTCAGTTCAATTTACTGAGCTGTACAAACAACACATCAGCTCCCTTTTCTATCTTTATACTAACAATGAATTCAATAGGTGGTTGCGAAATGAACACTGCAGATGACAAACCCACAATTATCGCCTGACTCTGCAGGTCCCCTCATATCTGCAGCAGCGCGTTAGCAATGTTTGGCTCATTGTGCTGAGTTTTCTGGCCTGCAACCTCGTCTCTTATCAAAACTGTTTCCACGGCAGCAGGCGAACGGTCTCATTACTCAACTGCAGGTCTCCTCGTCCGACACCGAACTGAAACAAAGTTAACCCGGTGAGCAGAGTTCAATTTGTGCGGCTCGGAAAGCGGTCAGCGCTAATGTGAAGCCCACCAGATTTCGAAATAAAAGAGAGAGAGGATCAGTCGGTGCAAATTCACAGCTCCAGCGTTCAGAGCGTTTAAGGGTTGTAGTCACGTTTACCTGCACATTTCTGTACAAAGATTGGAGTAGCTGCAGCAAACCCCTCGACCGGCTGCTATCACATCCTCAGGTGCGGTCAGCTTCTCTGAGTGGCCGAGATACCCGCTCACATCGTACTCTATGAAGATAGAGGATAAACATGGCTTCTGGTCTCAAAAAAAAACATTGATTTCCCATCCAGAAATCCATAATGTGGTGTGTTAGCAAACCCTAAGTAAGACGTAGTATGGATAGTTTGCATACTTCAGTAAACCCACCAATGTTGTTGCACAGCCAGACCCAGATGGCACGAAGTTTCTCCAGCTCATTTCTGGCTCCCAGCGTGATGCTCTGCACTATCGCCTTCACATCATAAACTCGCTTTTCCTTCAGCTACAACAACACACAAAGATCTGTCAGACAAAGTAGGTTTTTATAGGTAATTAACGAATCCAAAGATGGATTCTTCATGTTTCCACTCTCAGCAGGCGTCACAAACTTTTCATGTAAACAAGCCTTGTTTTTTGTTTTTTCTCCACCATCATCCTGTTTGTCAGAATCTTTTCAGTATCACCCTTTAGATTCAGAGACATGAGTGCTGTCTAATTATTCCTTCTCTGCAATGAAACCTTTACTATGGATGAAACTAGGGATCAACTGATATGGATTTTTGGGTGGTCGACACCTGATAATAGGGACTGATATACAGTAAATGTAATGTTTTAACAGCAGGAACTTGCCCTTCATAACTAGGCTTCTTCATTAATAAGAATGACTATAACTGAATATGTAAAATAGATTATAGGAGGGATTAAATTAGGACACTGTCCTTCGTTTACAACTGAGATTGATCAGTTTGTCTCCTGCTGTTCTTCTCTATTTCCTAATATTTTACTGTTCTATCACTTTTATTGCTGGGGCTCCTATCTTAAATCTGTATTAGTTACTGTTTTTCAGACTCTGTTTCGGGGTAATCTGCCTTCTAACTTAGCTGCTAACTGTTAGCATAGCCTTAGCCACTGTGAGAGGAGCTCATTTCTTGGTTGGTGACAACGGCTTGTGTTTCTTGTTCAGTTTTTCAGAGATATTTCTGAAACCACAGACAGACAGAGAGAGGAAGCTCTATCAGACCTGAAGTAGGACATTTAATTTATCAATAATCTGTCAACTGAAATACCAATACAGTAATCAGAAAAATTGCAAAATATTGGCCATGATAATCAGCCAGGCTGATAATCGGTCTATCCCTCGAGGAAATATTTAGGTGTCTTGCTGTGAAATGGTATTTTTGTTCATTGTGCAAAGTGAATGTTTGTTCGTCACTGTTTAGGCTGAAAAAAACCAACAACAATATGAAGTTATTTGCCGGTATATTTTGCATTTTTTTTGTCTTTCTTATGTAATGTTACTCTTGAACTTGGTGCTTTTGCGTCCTCACCTCCGCTCCAACGCTGATCACATGCGAGTCCACCCTGTGGAAGACCTCCGGGTTGGCGAAGAGGTCTTTTCGCCGCTTCTTCTTCTTCCCTACCGCGGCGTCGCACAGCGTCACCAGCCTCCGACCCAGCGGCGCTTTCTGCTGCGGCTGTCTTTGCTCGTCGGCCTCCTTCCTCACGGCGCTCTTCTTCACCACCGTGATGGTCCTGGCTGCGCTCTCGGACGACAGCTGCCTCTTCGCCGCCGGACGCTGGTCTTCGCTCTCCACCGTCAGCTTCTCGAGCGCCGTCCGTCTGGAGAGCACGGCATTCTGGGAGGCTTCAGCTCCGACCAGGACCTGGGCGGCTGGAGGCTCCGGGCTCTCCGGTTTTTCATTGTGCACCAAAGCGCCTATGACTGGGTTTGACTCGCCTAAAATCTGATTCTCCAAGGCCTTCACCTGCACGCATCCCATTTGGGTCACCTCATCTTGCTGGGAAAGGCGCGCAGAACAGGCGAACGGGAAGGAGAACTTCTGGATAGCGACTTCGGCTGACATCATGCCGGATGCATGGCTTCCTAACCGGAGAGAGACGGCAGATATAATTTAGAAGACAGCCTTTATTCGCCGGGGTATTTTTAGCTTAATCCTGTGAGCAGGTAGTAACTTGTTCTGCTTAAGATGAGACACACGAAAGCTGCAGGGAAAGATCCTCCACGTGGAGGAAAGGAAGCAGCAGGTTTATTCTACAAACTACATTCCACGCGAGACAGTGACAAATTGGCAATTAAATTATGTCTATTCATAACCGTAAATGAACGCAAAGGTTGGAATCATTAGTCACTGTCGCAGCCAGCAGCACAAAGAGTGCGACCCTATAACTTCATGCGGATTGATGGCCCGCGTTCGGAATTTCTTTTTAAAAAAATTAGCAACACGGGGAGCGAGTTAAATCTGTCGGAAAAAACGACTTATTTTTTCAAAAGCGGCCGGTAATCATCCTTCAGTCGGATGACCTGCGCTGAAGCACACCTCAAGCAGAAAATTATCAGCTCTGTCTGCAGCTGAAATGAAGGTCCCAGAAGATCCTGAAAGGTTTTGGCCCTCAAGTTGAAGGTTTAGTCCAACATGAGGGGCGAAAACCTTTCAACACCTCCTCTGCAGGAGAGTTTTCTTCTGCTGTTACATCATAAAGGTGCAGAATGTTTTATTGTTGGGTAACGATCCTTTCAGATGAAAATAAAGAGATGTGGTCTCTGGAATATTTTAGCTGAATTTTGACAGTTTCAGATGTTTTCAGACCTCACAGTTTTTCGCACTTTCGTTCATAGATCTCGTAAATCTCCAACACGAGGCGCAAAACCTTTAAACATCTTCTACAGCAATTATCTTCTACTGTTACATAATAAAAGTGCGCAAGTGAGTATTTTGTTGTTGGGCAATGATCCTTTCAGATGGAAATAAAACCTTGCAGGACAGCTTGTTAACATATTGGGTCAGGCTATGAATTCAGACTGAATTCAGGATATACGTTGCTCCACCATCGTCTGATTTTGTTCAGTCAAACATTTTAGCTAAATTTTGAGACTTTCAGATGTTTGCAAACCTCACAATTTTTTTTATTTTCACATTTGTGTTCAAACTCGTTTGGTGTAAATCTTGCAAAACCTTTAAACATCTCTTCTCCAGTCATTATTTTCTACCGTTACATAATAAAAGTGCAGAACATTTTGTTGTTGGGTTGGAAATCTGCCTGGTAATGATCCTTTCAGATAGAAATAAAAACCTTGCAGGACAGCTCGTTAGCATATCGGGTCTAGACAGAATTCAGGATATGTTGCTCCACCGTCATCTTAATTTGTTCAGAGTTTACTGCTTGTTCTGTCAAACATGTTACCAGAATTGTGACAGTTTTAGATGTTTGCAGACCTCACAATTTTACTATTTTCACGTTCGTCATCAAACTCGTTTGGTGTAAAAGTCCAACATGAGGCGCAAAACCTTTAAATATCTATTCTGCAGGAGTTTTCTTCTCCTGTTACAAGCTCAGAGTATTTTGTTGTTGGCTAATGATTCTTCCAGATGGAAATAAAAACCTTGCAGGACAGCCTGTTAACATATTGGGTCAGTCCATGAATTTGGCCAGAACTCAGGAAATATGTTGCTCCACCGTCTTCTGATTTTGTTCAGTTTGTACAGATTTGTTCTGTAGAACATTTTAGCAGAATTTTGACCGTTTTAGATGTTTGCAGACTTAGCAATTTTACTATTTTCACATTCGTGTTTGCACTCGTTGCACTCTTGTTGTTGGGTAATGATCGTTTCAGATGGAAATCAAAACCTTGCAGAACTGCCCGTTGACAATTTGGATGAGTCCAGGAATTTAGTTTTATTTTGGTTGGAGTTTGCTGATTTGTTGTATAGAATATATTTTAGCTGAATTTCAACAGTTTTAGATGTTTGCAGACTTCGCGTTTTTTCTATTTTCA